GATGGTTAACATTTTTAGAGTGTTATAATTTTTATAGTAACCGAAAGAATATTTTTGCGATTTAGTTGTACCTTATTATTATTGACATGAAGATCGTATAAATACAAAGAAAAAATCCCTCCATCCAACTGGACTCAACGACTTGAGTCGGATCCAGGGAGTTATATTTCTTGTTTGTACCATTTTTGTGTCATATGGCATAAAAAACATCATGCTTTTCAATGAAAATTAAAATAGTTGCACCTTACTTAAGAATATATGTAGGTATGTTTAATCCGGTCAGAGTTATTTTGTTAATGGTCGTACAAACTATAGTAAAGTTACGACTACCGTTTCTCTGTTCTATGATATACATTTGGAGATTTTTTTATATTTTTTCCGCGAAATATATATTGGGTACATTCAGCTCTCAGTGGTTTCTTAGTTAAGTGGCCGCCGCCCGTGGCGATTGCCTTTGAACCCGATCACCTCATTAGTTCAGCTGACTTGTTCCATATACGCGTAGTACGCACCTCAGTCACCCAGTAGACTCTGTACAGAACGCACCCTTAATAACATTGAGGAAAAATAAACCAATAAATAAAGAAATTTTCACTAAAGAACAACATGGATTTAGGGTTCGAGAATATTGTGCAAGAGACCGCGACGGAAGCATACGAGGACGCGATAGCGATATCCTGCGGGTGACCGTGGCCCTTTTATTGAGCACGCGCAACTATCTATGCAAATTTTTTGTCAGGTGACTGTTTCGTGCCACCAGTGTTAACGTGTTTGTGTTATGCTACGAACGTCTTAAAGCGAAAATGCTGCGAAGACGTAAAGTTCAAGCGACGAGCGAAGCTGACGTGCGAGCGGAAACTTTCAAAAGTCGCTCAAATGTAGCGGGTACGTCTGGCACGCGTCTTAGAGTTAGACGCGGTTCAAGTTTGACGGATTTAGACAAATTAAGATGTGGTGGTGGTTCAAGTGGAGGCGGCTCGATCGGGGATTTGATGAACATGTTTAGTGGTAGTGCTAATTCGGTCGGTAGTGATACATTGGTTGCTAGAACAGTTCCGTTGGAGACAGTTAAGCGGGTGATCCCACCATCGACACCGCCGTCATGTCACCCGCCTTCACCGCTCATACATGTGTCCCGACCCGTGGGGCCATTGACAATGGCACAACGTACTTTAAGATTTAGCCGGCTTTTGAAGTATCAACCGTCGTCCGCTGATATACCTATCATGACGGTAAGTACCTTAATTATATTGAAGCACAATAAGCATTTACGAGCTGAGAAAATGTTAAATAGCAGACGTGCTTGCGTTGCCTAGTTTCTATGTCGATAACGTTGTTTTTTCGACGAAAATTATGTACATTTATAACCGTTTACACACTCGTAGAGTAATTGAAGTTAAACGCGCTAACGTACGTACGTACTTGTATGTACGCACATCAAAAATCATATAATTTCGAGTAACTGTATGTTACCGTGTACGGGCGCGTTCCCACTATGTCGTCACGTTTTATTATCGTTGGACGACTGTCGTGTCTAGCCTGTTCCCATATCACAACTATCTGTCGTGGACGATTTTTTATCGTTGAACGACTGTCGTGACTAGCTGTTCCTACTAGATCGTGACGACAATTTATCGTTTCACGACAGCCTCCTTGCCCATGTCTGGCTACGACCCAACGCTACTGCAAAGCGAGCAGAGGGCGCGGGGTACGAGAGGGGAGGGCAGGGAGCAAAATACATGCGGACAGCGATAAATAAAACTTGTCGACAATAGGAGCTGCGACAATCTATCATCACGTTTTTATAGTGACTGTTTTTATCGTCTGACGACTGTGTGTGTGACGACAGTTTGACGTTGTAACGATAAAAATTTGTGAACGACAGTTAATCGTGTCGTGCTATATGTGAACAACTTCATTTAAATATACAAGCCCCGACACTGTAAACTGCACGACAATCTGTCGTCACGACATAGTGGGAACGCGTCCTACCGCGCGTCAATGCGCAGCAGCAGGGCCAGCATGACAGGGCGCGACTCAAGCGTAAGCAACATTAACGTGCGAAATATCCATCTCCATGTGACAATAACAGTACCTCGCGCTTTATGTCCCTCTCGCGCAAATCGTATCTCACATAAATAGGTAAGTTTGTAGTAAGAGGCATGAGACTATACATAAGGCATTTCATGTGAAAATGTTTGATAAAATAAATGTAAATATTAAGAGGAACTTGAGAATTTCACGGTTCGTTGGCAACTTGATAGCTAACTACACAGTCTATGTGTTAACGATTCCGTTTAAGAGAGTATTACATCTACATTGTAGACATATAGATTCCAGTGTCGCTAAAGCTATAAATTCACACAAGTATCGTTTATCGATGAGTTTTATGATGGTGTGAGTACACCGTATACTGCAGATATGTTGCTTTCAAACCATTAGATAAAGTTGTAGATGATACAATGTAATAGTTTCTGGCTACTTTTTTAACTTGTTTGTAAAGTTAATATCTGCAATTTAGAACTATTATTTCACCAAATTGCTTTATCATTCAAATGAACACTTGTTATGAAAATCGTATTTAAACTTCTGTATATCTTGTTGATAAGAAAGCACAATATTTATAAGAAACTCTTATTGTGTTTTATAAGTTTCATTACAGGTAAACGACAATTTCTAGTGTCATTTGTTTAGGCGTAAGTTCAGATGACAAATTTTAACGCGCGTTCTCAAATCGCGCTTCTAGATATTTATACATTTTGCATACACTCGTTCATATGAACGCGCGTTCAGAGGAAAAACGTAAAAACGCGCGTCACTGCTGCGTGCGTGTGTCGTCGTGCGTTTTGAATTATATTGTACTGACAGTGTACTTGTTTAGATTGCACGCACGGCGGGTTGCCAGACCCGAGGGTCATCGTTCCTTCGCGTGCCAACGCGTGTCAACGCGCAGCAGTAGGGCCGCTCTACATTATGTCACACTCCCGCAAGTCGCGCCCTGTCGTGCTAGCCTTACAGGAATTAAGAATGCCTTTACGTTAGTGCGTAGTAATAAACTACTATAGACTTACCGTTTTTTCGTTAATAGGTATTGTTTTACAGATCTGTACATCAATGAAACTAATAACAGAAAATAAAAACGCTTTTACTTGTGAATAACTACGTTAAACCAAAATAAAGTTTCGTATCGTCATTTAATAAAATACAAATAATAGTCCATTGAAACGATGCTTCCAAGGTTTTTTTTCTTATTCCATGAAGGTTTCTTAAAAGGAATATTATCGGGGTTCCAACCTTTATTTACCTGTGGTTGATTCTGCAAATGATATACAATTATTTTGCGGATCAGGCTAGGCTCAATCGAATTTTCTTATGGGCTTTTTTGTTTTTTAAATTCTTGTTTTAAGGTAAACAAATTACGATCCTAAGTGTATTTTTATAGTTTTACTACAAGTAAGTGAATGCCGGATATTATAATTGTCTTGAGGGCATTAATAAATAATTAATAAATAACGCACACACTCAACATAGCCCCGCACTAGGGAAACCCTGTGTCGCGGGTGCCATGGACACACACATAGACAACCACAACTTACACCCAAACTCACGAGAGAAATAAATGTAGGCCATACAGCTATTTCTCCCGGCCCGGGAATCGAACCTGGGTTCGGCCACAGAGGCAGTTAAAATGTTAAAATTATGTGTTGTTCCCACATAATACTAATATGATCAACAACAACTTTTATTCTATAACTAATTCACAAAGAGTTCTATTGCTTAGAGAATACTGTACTGTTTTTTTTAGGTTACCTTTAAATCAGATAACACTGTAACACGATAACACAAGAATGTATTATCTTCTGTAAACATTTTAGCGCATGATCGTAACATTGTTTTATTATGCACATTAATGTGTGATTATGTGACGTATTATCATTATTTACATAGTAAACTGCATTATGTCTCTGTTATGTGAAAACCAACCGTTATGTTTTTTTCAGTATTAATATTCAACGAATATGTTAAAGAAGTTTGTAGCTATAAACTTATAAACATTAAATTTCCATAATCTGATTTAGTACTCATTTAGAACCGTATTAACAATTCTCGGTAGCTAACAACAATGTTCATATTTTTATGTATAAATGTTGCATAGCAACCTACGGAAGAAAAAAACAATGAAAGGGTAAGCCTCGACTCCTATCAGAACCGCTGTCGCCAAAACTCACACAAAAAAATGATAAACACTACGAAATCTTGATAATGATAGGAAATAGTTTCTAATTTAAAAAGATGTGTCAAATTCTGGATTAATAAACGTTGTTTTGAACCTTCATACAAGCTGAAAATCTCATTTAAAGTTCATCATATACTAACTGGCTATAATGACTTAAAATTTTCTTAAAAAACTATTTTCTAAAAGAATCCCGCTTCAAAGCTGAACGTTTCTTATTCCATTCCAAATTTGATTCAAGCAATGGCTAGAAATTGGAAGCAGTGCATAAACTAACAGCACTGCTGCGACTCATGAATTTCTGAACGATGCATTTTAATTTAAATAGTTTCATTTACACGTAGAATAAAACTGGTGTAGATTGCACCTTATTTCTTTATTCGTTCGTAGTGGTTAATACTAGCAAGTGGGTTTTTTTCTTATCCATACTTTTATTTATGATATAAGTGATAAATAAGTAAAAGCTGACTTGAAGAGGACATGATATATTTAAATATTGAGGTTAAAAGTCAATGCAGCAATTGTCTCTCTTTAGTAGCGGTAGAATTCCTAGAGAAAAAGTTCGTTTAAGGAAGTACTGCCACCTTACTTATTTCGGCCGCCAAGCAGTAATATGGGCATTGCTGCGTTCCGGTTTTGAATTATAAGGATGCTGGTATAGTCACAGGCACATGGGACTTGTCAACATATGTCTCAGGGTGGCGGGCGCAGTAGCAGTGACCCTCAGATCTTTGCGGTTTAACGCTTTGTGTGACACTGCAACTGGTATGGACAGGTGTGACGCTAGACGAAGGGCATGCGACTTGTTCGTCCCGTCCCTTGACATCATAAGAAAAAAATTGATAAGATAAACCCTTTTCGGAATTAATCTATTTTATTAGACAAAAATTCTTGTTAAACGACACAAACAAACTGCATGAATAAAAAATTGACTTAATTTAAAATTAATTCTCAGAATGTTAGTGAAAATAACATTCTTACAAATGTTTTTCAACTTAGTTTAAAATTATTTACAAAGAAATTAATTCAAATTAATTTAAAATGTCACACAACATTCATACATTTGCAAATAGAGTTTAGAAAGTAGGGGGAACTTGTATTTATGTTAATAAATAAGTAAATTATTAAAAAAACATTTGTTATATTTATGGTATAAAAAATCTACAATTATATAATAATGATCGGTACTAAATCTCTAAGGTATAATATATTCAAGTCAATAAATTTGACTTGAATGTATCTAATGGGAACCGGATATCCGATACTACCTTTTGGCGAGTATTGCTCTAAATTGAAAAATTTCGCAATGTTATGTGACTTACATCGGTATAATCATGTCGCTATTTGTTTGTTGTGTGAAAAAAAATTTATTAACTACAGCAGGTACATTACATCATAGCAAGTATCTTGTATAAAAAAAACTAAAGAAGGTAACGGACCTTACCTTCTTAAGTTTTTTTAGGACTAGGTTTAAATATAGCATCACAAAGTATTGATAGACAATGAGGCCCACTAAATTTCTATTGATTTAAGGAGTTTAATCTGCTCCTGTCTGGAGCCTATTTTAAAGCCTACCTATTTTAAAGGTATCAGTGCAGAATTAGGTACTGTACAATTTAGGGATACATAGATCTTACAGTACTCAGTGGTGTGTATTAAACCGATTCAAAAAATATGAATGAACTACATGGCGCATTTTTTCTTTGCGACAGTCACACAGCTGCATTACTTAGAATAATAATTCCGATCTTCTAAATGTGATATTTCAGCGATAGAAATCTTGTCCTCAGGACAGTTTACAGATATAATAATTCGTTACCTGTTTTCATAACACATACAATCAACCTCATTAAGCGTATTTCTTCATGAACTTGAGAAGATACTTCAGTTTTGGCATTTCAATGTTGTGGATGCATCTGTTAAAGTCGCCAATAACTTTCACGGAGTGAGTCATCATCCTGGATATGATGTCCTTTAGGCAGACGCTTAGATCTGACACTTCTTTGAACCCGTGGATTGCAATTTCAGCCATCACTACCGGGAACGGTGAAGTTTCGTACAGGAACTGTGGAATAAACAAAAAAGACTTTAAACAAATGCTATTAGATCGCCAATTTTATTGATGTTTAGGTCGCTGTCACTCTGGAAAGTTTCCGTTACGTTTTTTGAAGTCCAATTTGTGAGAGGTCGTTTTAGATAAAATAAGTGCTCATTTAATCGTCATCTCACCTGATGGAAAATTAGGATAATGTCGACGATGGAGCATGCATACCTAAATAATACCTATTCACTCTCGCCTTGAAAAGGTCCAAGTTACAGCGTTCTGGGAATAAGTCTGCAGGCAAGGAATTTCACTCCATAGCCGTTTGCATATAAATGTGGGAGCGAAACGCTTCGTGTTTATGTTTGGAATATCCACAACGTAGGGATATGTTTATAGGGAAAGTGTAATATATAGTGCCGACTGGCGAAACCAATTTCCCTATTTAAGCCTAATTTAGCCAGATATAAATCTGAATAGGCTTTAAATTTTTAAGCAGTGATGACTGCAAGATGCTAGCATAATCGCGCCATTGCTACATTCTCCTTCGAAAGATACTTCTAAACAGATTGAACGCATTCTGTGCTATAAAATAAAGCAGTGTTGGTCTAATTGGCAGAACGCTTGTCCTTTTCGTTCGCTGAAACTTATTTAATCATGTGGTAGTTTACAAATTTTATCAATTGTTTAAAAATGAAAAAAAATCATAGCTACCTACATGTCGAAGAAGGTCATCACGTGAAGTCGTGAAGTCCCCAACTGACATCGTGTTAGCTTGTTGTTTTATTTCACGTTATGATTTTGAGGTTTTTGCTATTCGCAAATTTCTCTAATAATTCAAGTCCAACCTTCAGTATTCGTATTAAAGTACTATTTTCATATGCTACTTACGACTGTCCTTTCTAAATCTTGACTTTCGTGAGAACAGTTGCCGCCAACCTGCTGTTGTTTCTGACACTCGAAAAGTTTTGATGCGGAGTACTTTTTCAAATTCTCTAGCGTCTCGAAATGGACTTGAAGTTTCTCTGTAAATATCCAGATATATAAAATGCTTAGTAAATTAACTTTATTGGGTTCAATGGCCAAATTGTGTGTGTTATTTGTTATATGGAAAACTAGAAAGTTTCATCTTTTCCATATAAACAGATAAAATTAGAGTTTTCATTTTTTTTCTTAAAAAAATACTTTAAATCGCTCTCCTTTAACATTTTCCATATTCACGTTTTACATTTCCAGCGTCGATATGGAATAAAGACGGTTTGAGTTTGAAAATTGCCATATTCTAAAAGACAATATCCCACTACACTACTTTTACCTGCGTAAATCATGATACGCTTACGAAGCAGGATTCGCTACAATAGCTTCATTCACAATCACGATAATACCAACGAATGTATATTCAGCAAAATTGTTTACACAGTTTTGTTATTATTTGACCAGCGAGCGTCGTTTGTTTTGGCTACATCCTGTACCTTACGAGCGTAAACGAGGAAGACTGACCCAAAATAAAATGCACTGAATGTAGGTTGACAATGCCATAGTCATGGCGGTTCCGCAAACAAACTTTTGCTCAATGAAAACAAAGATTACAATACGTTAAGATCGATACTTCCAATAAACATTACGACAACTAATTTTTGGACCTGTTTTATTTTTATATTGTTTTTTGTTTTTTATTTTCTTTTTTAACGAAATTCGTATTTTTGTTTATTTCTTCTTCTTTTTTGTCACAAAATTCAGGAAGCATAATAATAGCAAATAAATGTGGCCGTTTACAAAAATGACCAAAAAATAAAGTTGGCGCAGTGTTAATTGGAGGTATCGAGATTATAATTGGTGACGCGATTATGACAATGCTTTTCACCTGTTCTCACACGCCTGTACCGCCTCTCACTGTAGACTGGTGTATTTTCCGAAAAAGGGAAGCAGAGCTGACCTGAAGTGACTGAGATTGGTCTATAGTTGACAGCAATCAAGTATAGACCTATCTCAGTCACTTCCATAGTCTGCAAGACTATGGAACGTGTACTCAACAACCGTCTCCTGTCGTACCTTGAAGACAACGACCACCTCAGTGATTGCCAGTACGGTTTCCGATGAGAGCAATCAACTGGGGATCTTTTTGTGTCACATATGGAGCGAGGCTATAGCGACACTTGCAGTGTCTTTGGATATTTCCTCAGGGTTCCGTACTGTCTGCAACTCTCTTTCTGCTGCATATCAATGATATGTTAATTCCAGGTACCTTTGCGTATGCTGATGCTGATGACAGCACAATTGTAGATAGGTACTTGACCAATGCAAGGGACAGTGGACAGAAAACCCAGTCTTGTCGAGAGCCCATCGTTAGCAGTTTGGATTTAACACTCAAGGCAGTCTCCGATTAGGTTATGCTAATCTTGTCAAATTTAACGCTACCAAAACGCAAGCGTGTCTATTCTCCACAAAACGGAGTTCCTTTGAGCTGACTCGACTTTTCGTGATATATCCATACCTGTCGTCCAATTTGAACTTCGGCAGATAAATTGAATCCATGGCCAAAAATGCAACAAGGAAGCTTGGGAACCTTTCCGGTGTGAGGCGTTACTTTACACCGGGACAGTTGTTTCAGCAGTACCAAGCACAAGTCCGGTCGTACATGGAGTACTGCTGCCACCTTTGGGATGGCTCTGCTACATACCAACGGCCACCTTGGATTCAATTGACAACCGTGCCAAGAAGCTTATAGGTGACTCAGAATTAGTGGAGACGAAGCTGCAGAGCCTTGAACACCGCCGTAAAGTTGCCTGCTTATCGGTATTTTACAGGGTATATCACGGAGAGTGTGTGATGGAATTGCACGATTCGATTCCGCCTTCCCCTTTCCATCGCCGAGGGACTGGGACCCAAGCTTACGCCTGTAGGCCACCCCAATGTTGTGGATATTCCAAAGATTCGCGCGAAGCGTAACGTTTCCACATTTATATGGCGAACGGTTATGAAGTGGAATTCCCTGCCTGCAGACTTGTTCCGTGAACTTTATAACTTGGGCCTTTTGAAGACGAGAGTGAAAAGGCATTATTTAGGTGTGCATACTCCATCGTCAACCTCATCGTCACTTTCCATCAGGTGAGATGCAGGTCAAATGCGCTCTTACATTAAAAAAAAAAGAGAATGCAATTGAAACTCAATAAAAAGCTCATCTCGGCTCAGGGCTCATTAAAAACCAGCGCCACAGTCAATTATGGCTTTGGCATAAGCTGATTGAAGTCCTTTTGCGTACACCACAACCTCACAAATGACAGTACAATTTGTAGTCGTTATATTTTGCTTTTTGCTATTTGTCTATTTTGTCTTATTTTATGTTTTACAACTTATGCCAAAGCCATAATTGACTATGGCGCTTACATTAGTACACGTAAAGTATACATTTGTGTACATCTGCAGGTGAAAATATTGTGCAGATTTTGTATAAATAACAACAATGTTGCTATTAATGAATGCTTAATTCTAATAACATTAAAAAAAAATTAGAGTACTTATGTCGGCTTGCATTAAACATAAGTATGTGTTAAATCAATGCTTGCAATGCAAAAGACACCTTAATGTATTGTGTTAAGAGAGTCATAAATTTAATCATTACTTTAGAGCGTACCTAAGTTTCGTGCAAGTGGACATAGTATGGATGTTTTAAATACACACACTTATAGCCCCGCACTAAGGAAACCTTGTATCGCTGGTGCCATGAACACACACATAGTTAACCACAAATTACACCCAAACTCACTAGAGAAATAAATGTGGACCGTACAAATATCTCTCCTACCCTGGGAATAGGGATGCATGATTTTTTGCTTTAAATCTATTTTTTGGATCCATAAATGAGCCGATGCATGGATCGGATCGTATGCTCTGAATCGATTTCATAAAAATTATTTAAAAATTTTTAATAAATAAAATACAACTAAATAAATAAAATTTTTCAGTAATAATGTCATATAACTGAATGTCCAAACCATTCTCCTCTTTAGTTTCCGTTTCTGTACTTGACGAAATTTTAACATTAATAACATAAGACTTTTGTTTGAATAATGAATACAGTCTAGACGACTAGATTCGCCTAAATTTTAAATCGATTCGCTTCTAAATCGCATTGAAATTAATCGATTTGAAAAACCGCTAGTTCTGGAGTTATTGTGCCTCGTAAAGACATATAGACAGACAGGGGTATACACACAGATAAAGGTTTCAGTTTTATAACTCCCTTCTTTTTACGTCGATGGTTAAAAGCTCCAATATTATAAGGCAATTTGCTCCGTGTATAGATACATTATGTTTGTTTAAACCAAAAAGTAAAAAAAAAACGTATGCCTTTAGATTTTTAAGAAGTCATAGTTTATTATCATGATCAATTAATTATAATTGGTTAAGGAAACAAAAATGACATCTTCTAAGGCCCCGTGTAAATCAAAATGTGAATTTATTCAGACCCCGACAATAATATTATTCCTAAGATCACGTAAACGTCACTTTTTTACGAAAATATCGCATTAAAATTTAGCGCTATATATTCTTTATGACCAAAACTCTGTATCTAGAAAAATACAGCGTTTTTCATATGAAACTGAGGGCGTACTGTTTTAGGCCTGAAGCATGTAATTTATTTATTATGGACAACGAAACACATAACAATTGATTGCATTGACAAATTACATTGACAAGATTTAAATAAAATACAACCTTCTGTACTAGATTGTATTCCTACTTATGTTGAAACATCATTGTGATGTAACAAAGATCTACTGTCCATAATTTGCTAATAATTTACTTAAATCAATGTACCCACTTATTTACTACTTATCAGGGGATTTTAAAAGGGAGTGTTATTCTTGTACGTTCGTAATTATATTTAGTACATTTTAATGTGCTCGTACATTGCGCGTTTAACGCTTTCCTCGTCATAGTTTGCTGGGCCTTAAGAGGATATATAATTAAAGTGGAAATACGGTATACATAGTGTTTTTTTAAAATGGAACAGTAAGGGGAAATCCGAAACCATAGATGATACGAGGAAACTGTCTTAGGAACCATTAAGTCTTTTTTTGTGAAAACACATTTTATATTATGAAAAATCATTTTATTGAATTTGACCAATTTCTGCTATCCGGATTTTTTCATTCTATACAATCGAATCATCCTTATAAAAAACTGAGTCCATTAGCACTAAAAAAATTAGTCAATTTTATTCTTTTTTATGAAAAAATATTTTATGAAATTTGACCAACTTCTGCTGTTCCGATTTGTTTCGTCTCATACAATGATACCTTTATGAAAGTTAATATATTACCAGTAAAAAAAATCAATTTTATTCATTTTATTGACAATTCTCTCTTGACCAGAAAATTGACAACGTCAAAATTGTTTTGCACAAAAAAGACTTTAATGGTTCCTAACACATAGACAGTTTCCTTGTATCTTCTATGATGTCGGATTTCCCTACACTGTCCCATTAAAAAAAAAAAACAATCCGTGGCGATTTAAGTAAGTGTGAAAATGAAAATCAGATATATTCATATAGTACAATAACATTACATTGTAAGAAAATTTAAATAAGATTCAATTTCCCATTTGTCGTAGGATGTTTCTATTGTTGTGTATACAAAAAACAGTTCACAGATAACAAGAACTTTGTTTCAGTTGTAAAGTGACAAACGTTTCAAGATCAAATTGTTTACTCTGCTGTTTCAACCCTGGTTTCACATGTACGCGTCTCTAAAGAGAGGGTTTAGGGCTGGTTCAAATGACAAGTTTTAACGATAATACGAATTTTATTCGTAAGTACCATTACGCTTTTACATACCGTAGTGAATTTGTCGCACGTTAAATGCTTGTCATCTGAACCAGCCCTTACACTATATTTACGGCTGGGAATTAGGATTATTTAATTGTTCACATAGATTTGTCGTCCTATATACTTTTCTTAATTAAAACTTTCTTTATATTTGTATGAAATCCATATTTGAAATCGCATTAGATAAACTAACTAAGGAACATTAAAATTTTAATGTTTTATTTCTTACATTTCTCAAGTGCATTACAAAATATGTCGATATTATAATTCGTAAAGCGACATCTCTTTTCAGCCACTGGTAGCTGTGAAGCGTGTAACACATATAGAGTGAATGCGGGTCGGGCGCGGGTCGGGTCGGGACCGCGGCGAGTCTGATTTCGTGTATTTATATGGAGCGGGATGGACGTACGCGCCCGCGCTCGGTGTGTTTGTGTGTGTGTTGCCTATTGGTTTGTCAGGTTGTAAACTTTAACATAAATTTCTCACAGTTGGCGCTATGGCGGAAAGCCGTTAAAACCAAACAATCAGCTGTAACAAACGCACGGAGAGATTTGTGAAGCTGAAGATTCTGTAGCTCAGTTGGTAGAGCGCGTTGCCCTAGATTGGCAAACAGAGGTTTAAATATTGTCAAAACGAAGGAATTTTGTTTTGCATTCGATCTTTATATTAATAAATAAAATATCCATCGATGATTAACAATTGTGACCTGTGTGTGTTCTAAAATTGTAATTATTCCAATCGTGTCGAGTTTACTAAAGAGTATTAATTTGATATAAGACAATTTAGGTATATCAAAAACAACCGAGGATCGCTCTACTATCATCGTTTTCTATTTCGATCAGGCTCTTAGAGCGTCAATTCTTAACAATTTGCTGTTTGATTTTAGGAAGCAAGAATATAGTTGCTGTTTGAAAATATTTTATAGTATTCAAGCTTACATGCCGACATTTCTGTCGGTAGAAGTAAACTACGTTATGAAAAAATCTGATTCAGCTTACAAATATTTTGCATACTAAGAAAATCTTTAACATGACAATGAAACCAAGATATTAATTTTTGTTATACTTGTGATACCCTCTTTTGCCATAATTTGTAATTCGAAAGCCAACAGTACATTTGCTGTAGTAATATCATTAATGAACATAATGCCCGGGAGCTGTAACGGTATCCTGAAAGCGATAGCTGATAGACCTAATTGCCCGATGATGTATAAACTCGCACAGACACCAATTTCATTATTAGTTATTAAGTATTAATCTAGGATAAGCTCTACTAACATTGCAAGGGACCTTAAATGTAGTCTGAAGTAAATAAATTATTAAGATTATAATTTTCAATTGTAAAACATGTATATTTTAACATACCTGGTAACCTTTGTACTCTTTGATAGCCCAGAGCAAGACACAGCGTGACGTTTTCATCGGCTAACTGAAGATTCTCTCCCAGAAGCTTAACTATACTCTCTTTGCAGTAAGTTCCATTGCGAGGTTTGCGGTCGTGGATGATTACCTTTTACAACATTGATAATTAAGTTTTAATTTACTCGCTAAATTCCCATTTGTAAACAGATACTGTGACAAAATGTAGGTGTATTTATAATCCTGAACTTTGGTAACTCTACATATCACGTTAGTTAAAATTATAATAGTTTTAATACTAGTTCTAGTAGAAGTAATATTCAAACTAAAAGCAAATTATAACTATCTATAATGGAAAATCGGTGTTTTCTAACACAGGACCGTAGTGCGATTCACGTAAGTTCAAGCTATCAAAATATCGTTCGATCGAACTCCTAACCAAAATATTCACGTATCACTTGGACGAACGTTGATATGAGTAGAATCGAAACATAACGACTAATGAACGACATCTTGGATTGTGAAATTTGAGATTTAGTCGTCGAACGTCTATTGAAAGAACTGTCAAAATTTTAGCAGAATACGTATGACTTGTCGTTTAGAGACGATTTAAGTTCGATTCATATACCAGAATACGCTTTAACGACATTTGGATCGAACGACTATAAAATTGGACTCGTTGACGTTCACTGTCACACGTGAATACGAAAAAGCAGTTCAACGACTAAATCGCTACGATATCGTAATGGTTTGATTACGTGAATCACCCCCCTGTTAAGCATAAAAGCAAACTTCACCCCCAGAATTAAGCTTATGTGAAATTGACAAATAAAATGTTATGATTATGAATACAAAAATCGAACACACAGAAAAATGTTTCGTCGACTCGGTGGGACTTCAATCCACGTCCATGCTGCACCGTAGCATTGCTCTAAACATCTGGGACCAGTTACCGAGGCGTCGAAATTCTCTTATGTGTTTTTGTTATAGATCTTTGTACTGAATTTTCGGCATTTGTCTCCGCTAGTGACATCTAGTGAGAGATATTTGAATAACCTCTCCGCAGCCTATACTTCTACAGTACAGTACAGAGTTATTTCACAAACAATCTCAATAAATAAATAAAACGTTTTTATTATTTTTATTTATATCAGTTCTAAATGGAAGTAATTAAAAGAATGAATGAATGAAACGAACGCATAAGAATAACAAATGCCTGCTTTTGTTTGCGGTGGTTGGAAATATGAGAATTTCTTAAAGCCCCCATATACTCGTACAGATGATTTGTTATTCCGATGGATCGTCATGATAATCGTATCAATCCGTCGCTACTCTTTTGGCAGTCAAGTTGATCGTTAATGACATAAACATACATTGTCGATCATCGTTTCGATTTGTCTGAAACGACATATCGCGAAGACAAATCGTCCCGTATATGGGGCCCATGATTTTGAAATTTAAAACTTTTATAACGAACATTGAGTATAAAAGCAGTTACCTGAAAATATAATGAAATTTGTTCAAGATAAACAGTCATGTAGTTAATAGCTTTGTCAGCTTCGTTCTTCATCAACAACTTTATTTGAGACACCAGCGTGTCCATGTCCTCCCGGGACTTCTGTGTTCGGACTTGTATGTCCGCGATCAAGGCTCTGTAGCCATTTATAAGATTGTCTTGGAAGTCTGTCGTCTGAAAAGGCAATGTTGCTTTTAGTTATATCGTTACGGTAATGGGAACACTCACATTCAAATATGTTGAAGCTTATATTTTTTTCTGAAATAAATAACTACGATACAATTTTAAAGCAGATCGAGTACCTCCATTGAATTGTACGTCATATCGATGTTTCGGGAAAGAAAGGACGTAATGGATAATTTTACCAAAAAATATTATTGATGAGTCCCTTCGAGACAATGGACGTTGTAATACGTCCAAAACGTCAAAGTTAATGAAATATGTTTTATACACTATTAGTCCCGATTTTAAAATAAAATAACATTATTGATGTAGTTGTGTTAGTTTTCTATGCTCTTTTATTTTGTCTAAATCTGAGTATTTTACGTAATAGTAATTGTAAAAAAGTAGGAAAAATGAACGAAAACATTTCTCGATTTTAATATAATTGTCATAAATTTAATATAATTGCCATGCTAACTTTGTAATTAGGCTTTTACGCCCGTTCTACCCGAAAGTATCTATATTTACGTCTCGAGTCAGATATTTTGTTCCTTTTAGTCTAATCATAATAGTACACTTATCACCAGAAAACGGAGTGTCGGTAGAAGGAGGTCTGGCAATTAGAAACGTATAAACCTTTACAAAAATGTACTTTAAACGTTATTAAAAAGAAAACAAACGATACTAAGCAAAATTCTAAAGAATGCACACAATGCTAACACGTTAATAAAAAAAACAATCCGTGAAAACATGAAATGGTTGGGAATTTCAGAAAATAATATCACTGAAACAAAGAAGCTTTCACAAACATAAATTAATAAGAGGCTTAGGTTGAAAAAACGGTCAGGATTATTTAGCCCTTCATGAGTCTTGGGATATTTGGATTTTAAGAATAGATCAAATTATACAAATTAATGCAAATCCATAAAATATAATAAATAAACAACGAAAAATATTTCACTGGGACGTTCTTTCGTTCGATAGGGAGATATTATAAATTTAGTGAAATTAGTCCCAGGGCGACGGGCGCAGTGGTAGTGCCCCTCAGATCTTTGCGATATAAAGCTCTGAGTGGCACTCCAACTGTTATGGACAGGCGTGTAGCTTACAACCAGGCACAAGACATACAAAAATAACAAAAATATTATCATATTTAGTTTGAGATAAATGTTACTATAGTAGGATTTCCGAAACATAACATAAGATTATTAAGTTTATGAGCTATCTGAAAAATTAATTTCTGCTTTACAATTTTTTAGGAGATCATTTTCCACTATTTCATTTAATAATTTATTACATAGTTATTGTTTTTTTAATTATTATTAATATTTTCAGCCGAGATATATCAATTTCTAGGAATAATTCCGATCAAATTCCACTACAAATGGAGTTTGTTTATAAAACTAACGTCATTCGTGTCTACAAATCTATCACAATTACCACACTCAACACAGAAACGCAAACTCGAATGTTTTTTGAAGATGGAAGTGATTGAAGAATCACTTAGAATCACTTCCATCTTCTATTATCTTAAAATATAATATAGCGGAAGACGTAAACCCATGGAGAAATAACAATAATATACGTTACATTCAAATCGTTAACTACATAAATGAATGCCAAAATAAATGAAGCAAACATGTAAATAGTCATAAGAGGAAAGAAAAAATTATAGAAATTTTACAAGTAACAGCGATAGGGCAAATTATAAATTGCATATATATTTAATGAACTCTGACCAAATGCAATAAAAATATTATTTCATAAAGCAATGATAAGAAAATAGAATAAACGTATTGTTGCACAACGTAAGGTTGCTGCTGTTACGTCAATTTTCTATTAAATATTAGTACACTTTTTACTTTTATTGAAAACGTACTGGGTTTTGTGCAAAATTCATATCAGGAAACTTTTCAAAGAAAGTTTTAACAACGATATTATATACGCTATTTTAATTTATTTAATAATGTAAATCATCGTTTATTAACAAAGTAAGTCGATTCAGGAGGGAAATAGTGACTATGGTGGCTACAAATAGGCGATGCCAATCGTAACACCCTTGTCATTGTTAATAAAGCAAAGAACAATGTAAACTAAAAATACGACTGCAGCATTGTGTTGGATTTTTTTTTACATTTTGCCTCCTCGGCTAGTTATAGCAAACAAAGTACGTAAATATTATGGAAAACTGAATTTTACCTCAAAACTGACGGTGACCAAAACAGCGACAAAAACAAAAAATGTGTAGCGCTTCATCTCCTTTTATTTATTCCACTTCCCATTTCAACTTTTAGCACTCAACATTTTAGTTTTATATAACAAAAATAAACTAATACAAATCGATTAGCGATTTAGGCAGATCGTTATATCGAATTTAAATTATTGGTCGATGTAGTCGGAATGGCGTTCGGATATTGACTGAGTGTAAGTCGGTATTGTTTGCGACGTACTCAACTTCGCTTGTTTTGCTTTTCAAACTCTGACAACTGATGACAGTTTACCGATTGAAATTGATTTAATATCGATTCATACTTGTTTTCATTGTTAGTCGTTGTTGTTATTTATTTGAGCCGTTTGTTGCTGTTTATTAAATCTCACCGCAACTGGATTCAATTGTTTGTAAATAATTTACATTCATAAGCTGTTTACACTAGTAGTATGAATACGGTATTTAATGCGTAATTGTTTTAATGTTCTCACTAGAGTGTGAGTGTTTGTCAACTGAAATATGTCATCTAACGACGCCATAACTTGTCTTTAATAATTATCATATTTTGGAAATGGAACTATTTAACTAAATTGCGTATATTTGTAAAAGTAAATATTTATTAAAAGGAAATTAGAATTATTAATGAATAGCATTAATAATTCTAATTTCCTAATATTTTTTTTTATTTCTCATGCTCTAAAAGTACGTCAATATAGCTTTACATAGCGAGTGTAAAGTGCATCCCTACAGAGTAAAAAGAACCTAGTTTTTTTAATTTACTTCGAGTGACCTAGACAAACTCAAACAGCCAGTACTTGCTCTAGTTTGTGCCAAAAGGTAAAAGTTCGATTAGTAAAATAATATAATTACAACTGAAACACCTTTTTTAGGTATTCACAAAAAAAAAGATAATTATTGCAGAAATTCAATAAAAAAGTGCTTGTGTATGGACCATTTTCATGTCCCTCTTACATATCCCAAATTTTTATCCTAAGGTTGCCTGGAAGAAATTGCTACATAGCAATATGGCCGCCTGTTGAATAATAAGTTACTTTTTCTACTACTATAATCACTTATGTTGCTGTTCTATGATGTCACTCTAATTTTATATGCAATAAAGAGTGTTTAATTTATTCATTCATTCATTTTCATCACGAAAATGTTACGTTCTAAGACTACATTAGGTTTTAGTTCCCTGCCTTTTCCGCATAGACGGTGGCGCCATATTATTTTCCTGCGTTGGTGCATTTGTGTATTGACCATTTTAAAGACGCGACGTAGCACTTAACTCGTTCGAAAGACGTTCATGATTACCAAAGACCGCTTATCGTGGCGTTTTGTTGCATTAGTTGTATCTGTGTTTGGTTGGAAAAAAAATACCGCGAAAACTTCAGAATTTTAATTCGTGATTTTGTTGTAGAGCGTAAACGATTGAATTTTTTATTTCTCGCAAGCGAAGTAAAAAGTACAGTTCTCACCTCAAGACTAAATGAAGCCAATATGAACCCTCCGAGTAATAGACATATATCGACACATGGATAACCACTTCGGGTATATATTGGCTCGTTTTAGTCCCTCGATAAAAATATACAATAATTTAGTTTAAAAAAAAAGAATCACATATTTGAAATAAAGTATTTGCACTTCATTTGTAGCGAAAATTGGAAGGCTTAACGCCTTACATTAGAAAATTTTGAAATTATAGTTCAGAAAGGGTAGTTTGCATTAATATTAAGTGTCGTTGATGACTTTACTATCTTTGTCAACCGTGGCTATAGGTCCTGTAGAGAGCTCTGAAACGTTGGTTTGTTTTGAAAAACAAATAAACACGACTTAGATCCGAAAAAATAGTTTCTCTGTCAAGGTACATTAATCGCGGAAACCTAAACCGATATCATCATACCTTCTGTACTAAGTAGTACGTTATGTAACGATTTGAATGAAGCTGTGAATTTTGAGTTTATTGTGCGCCACCTAAATACAAAACTATTCTGAAATAAGCCATAAATTTTATTATATTTTCATGAGTATAATTTAAGTACAATGTGTATTAGACCTTTCCCGCAATCCGTGTATAATTTTACAAAGAAATTAGCGAAAGGGTAGGACGAATAAGCTTTATTAAGTTACTAGATTTCAATTTAAGTCTTTATCCAAAGTAGTGAGAAGCGGTACGACGGTTTCAAACCTACTCCTAAAATTCGACTTCGCGCCATCTATCGAACGCCGCTGGAGCTAATGTGTAATTCTGTAACTGAAAATTGCTTCAAAGTTGTCTATATTTGGAAATGCTGTAGAGGGAGCTGCATAAGTAATACTAAATTTTTCCCCTAGATGGCACGACCTAATCTAAAAACCTTCGGTCTGTTCGTAGCTACGCAACTTATTTACACATTCAAATAGGTAATTATGGTTATTATCCTTCACGCTCTTGCTTTTTGCACTGAGAGCTTTGTAAAAATTAAATAATTATTTTATATGACCTGACCTGAAAAAGTTGAAGTTACCAATTTCTTTGCGAATAATAAGCAGATTTGAGGTGAGTTATATTTATTTTATATATTGTAGGTGCAAAATGCGACCCGCTACCATGAAAATCCTGCATTTTGTTATACTAAAATGTCATGCTCTCAAAACGAGTTTTAAAAAAAATATATATAAATGTTACCTATACGGTTTTAAAGCCTAAACTAAAACCAAGCAGTTTTATCTAACAAAATATATTTTCCTTTTTATCTCCAGGATTCTTAAGTCCTTTTTTTATTATTTATTTTTGAGTTTTGTACATACGTCGACTTTGAGAGCATGGTTTTTTGCTCTGAACTGGAAAATATGATGGCATATGGATGTATGTTTAACTAACAGTGAGTATTTTATTATGAAGTTCACCGCTCACCGCGGTAAAAAAACAAAGATTTATCGCACTATTGGGACAACAAAAACGGTTTGTCACAAAACAGAGTATGCAATCACATATATCTACTCTATCAAAATAGAGTGTTTGTGTATGACAACGATAATAGCAGTCTAGGATCGATGCTAATCTCACGAAATGTGAAAATTGTGACTCGTTGAACTACGTGTATGCCGGTAGCGTGCTTGCTTATGATTGCTGCTCATTTATTATTCATTTCGTTTACTTAAAAATACAAAAAAAAACAACTATACATTCTTGCTTTAATTGTATACATGTGAAAGTGACATATTTATTTAATTTAATTTTAATTTAAATTTTATTGTAATTTTTTATTTGAATTAATTTTTATTTGAATTTTAATTTCAGCCGTTAGTGTCCCACTGCAAGGCAAACGCCTCTTCCTTTTCTTCACTCATCGCGATTTAACACCAAGATCTCGTATTATCGTCATGACATCTCTTGCTAGATCTTTCACGACTCCTTCTTGCGTTTGGTGGGATCCACTCCATGGTTATCTGTGCTCATAGCTTTCTTGACATGCGACAGACATGACTGGTCCAGTTTTTTTTCAGGCTGGCATATTTTTCGCCATCCTCAACGATGTATATTTTGGAGCACAGTACTGTTCCGTCTGATAGTCTTATTCAAAAGATATTGCGCTAAATGTTTCAAAGCTACATGTTAGATGTAATTTTTTATTCCGCGATCTCTTAAGCTGTACAATTACTACCGTAGGGACCTTTAAATCGCAAAGAAATTGTTATATACAACATGTTGTACTTACCATTTTAAAGTCATGAAAAAATTAACATTAGCATTCTTAAGTAAAAAGAGGTTACACGTGTATGGTTATACGCAATAATTTGTTTTAACTC